CACTTAAAAGTTCAATCCAACCTGCAACTCACTTGACTTCTAGTTAAGGTTTTGGTGAATTATGGGTCTATATGTTCACTAAATGGGTGTCTTTGATTTGGTGTTTTGGTACTACGGTCTAATGGTATTCCTCATCACTTGTAAGTGAAAGGTCTTAAGTTCTCTCGCCAGAGGTGAATTTGAATTGCTAGCCCATTGTGAAGCTTAGCCCCCAATTCCCCACCTCCTTAGTGTAGATAATATCGTTTGTTAAAAAAATATTTGGGGATCGAATATTTGTTATGTTATATTTTGGAATTCCACATTATAGCTAGTTTTCATTTAGGATAATAATAGGAAGGCTAAATTTTAAACCAAATTTGCAAACTAAATAATGTATCACCAGTAGGAAATAAGATGATTATTATTATTATATTTTTTTTCTTCTAATTATTATTATTTTTCTAATTATTTTATAATACATATGGCATCGAAGTATCAAATTTTGGTAGAAATCCAAATTAATGTGTCAAGTATGCGAATGAATCCTCGTCGGATCCTCTTTGTGAGGATCCCGGAGATTCTCAAATCACATTCATTCATCATACATCATGTGGTCAGAAATCATTGTAAATTTTTTTTATTTAAAAGTCAATATAAACAGTACCTGACAAAAACTGGTCGCATGATGTACGATGAACGAATGTGATTGGAGGATTCTCTCTCAAGTTATGGTGAGAAACTCGTCCATTTGGGCCCACGTTGGGCCATGTCATGTGCTTGAATGACACACCAAGAAAGGCGGAAGCGTTGACATTGCAACTAAAACTAACCTAGGGTAGCCACTTAGCACTATGGTCTAGTATTATTCTTCTTCACTTGTAAGTGGGAGGTCTTAGGTTCACTTCTCGTCAAAGATGAATTTGAACCACATTATTGCTAGCCCATTATGAGGATAAGCACACTCTCTCCTCCTTAGTGTAGATAATATTGTTAGTTCAAAAAATAAATTATAAATAAATAAATAAATAAAAACTAACCTAGGGGATGTGATTAGGAATTAAAAATAGGCTAAACCTTTTTTGTGGTCCCTGCGGTGATACCGTACTTTCTATGTGACCCTCATGGTTATCTCACCTAGGAAAAAAGATAAGTAACACGAAAATGCCATAAACAGCAATCAAAAGCAAGGGATGTAGTTTGTTGTCATTGGATCCATAACCAACTGATGGAGGAGAGAAGAAAAAGGTCTTTCATATTTTCGCAGGATCCATCACCAAATCAAATGATATATGCCTTGGATTGACCATTCTTATTCCGCAAGATACGGAAATCTAATCCGATTAGGAATCAAATAAGTTTCCTATATTCTTGGAGATTTCTACAATCTAGTGATTGTCGTTTGTCGCAAGTAATCACATTTATAAGAAGATGCAATATCTACTCCTAGATATCTTCTTAGATAGATATCTTCTTGGATTCTTCTGGTTTAATACAGATTATATATCCTGAAAGGACTCTCTCTCGACTAGTATAAATACACCATTCTAGGTTCATCTCGAGTAATGCAATTATCGCATACTTAATCTCTTGCCTACTGCTTAAGTATAAAATTGCTTACTAGCTTGACCGTCGGAGAGTCTTGAACCGATTTCCCACCGGTGCCAAGGTGATCTTACAATTGTTTGTTATTTTACAGGTAGTCAAGTATGTGCATCTCCTTCACACACAATGGTGCACGAATTTGGTTTCAACAATTGTTACTTTTATTAAAAGACAACTCATATTCCCCCCACCAAAAATCACTCTACCTCAATCATATTTGTCAAAGAAAGTTCAGTTAATGCCAACATTAATGCCTTAACGGGAAACAATCCACTTCTTAAGGCCTAAACATCTCAGGCGCAAGCAATCAGGTCCTTGATGCTTCAACCTTCCAAGGGAACAATGATGTGCCCGAGACTGGAACCTTTATCACCATGGATCACATATGGAAGACCTTACAAAATATCAACACTTATGTTGGTGAACTGTAGAAGACCTACACGGCTTCCCACCACACAAATTTGTGGATATCAAAAGCCAAATGAAGGCCTTGGAGAACTCCAGCAAGGCTACCCCGTAAACGCAAGTTCCTGTCTTTAGTTATAGGAACTTAAGTATAATAATTCCAGAAGGACATCCAATCACGTCTATGTACTTTTCAACTTTAGATGAGGTTGCTAATCGTAACACATGCACACAGAAACACGAAGGCCATATTGTCAACCATGCCTCTGTAGACTCCAAGTTAGACTACAGACTATGATCCCTTGGACACTGCACTAGCCTTCCGCATGGAACCCCAACACCTGGACTTCAATGTTCCAAAATCATCTAAAGAACAAGAATGACACAGATCATTGAACTACAATGACTAGAGGGATACTCTGAGAGACACTTGTAAACTGCTTCTCTAGCAAGGTTGTTGCTATAGTTAGGGGTCATCTTTCCTTGATAAGCCAATTTGCACCACCTCTAAAGAAGTTCTCTTAACCCAGGTTTAAGTACTTCCGCGGAGATTTTGATCCAGAGTATCACATTTTACATTATCAAAATGTAATGGCCTTATATAGCATAAACAACGCATGGATGTGCAAAATATTATCCTCTACCTTGAAAGGACCTGCTATGAGATAGCCTTATATAAGCTAGCTTCTCCCCAAGTCGAACCACACGACCTTGAACAATACAATCAACAATGTCCTTCATAGCATCAAAGACAAACCTTTCCTTAAAATGCCTAAACCTCTTCTTGACCATTTAGCCAAGAAAAAACCAAACGAGTATTGCTACTTCCATTAGTGCATTAGTCACACCATTTGGAACTGTCATACGCTCAAGGATCATATTGAGGATTTATTCTATCAGAGGCATTGTTGGGAGTTTGTTAAAAGCAAATTCAAGAAAGAGGAGCCCGTTGAGAACAATAATCAAGGTAAGTTAGATTAGTACGAGCTCACCGATGACGAGGAAGATCGACGACCGGCATAGAAGCCCATCCTTAGCATAAATTGCATCTAAGGAGGACATGAGGTGCATGAACACAAAAATGATAAGAAGGAAACTCCAATCACTATGAGGTGGAACATCCTCAAGCATAACCAATATAACTGAAGGCCCTCAAATGAACTACAAGTGGTTTGCTTCTTCCTCGACAATGAGAAGATATATAGGTCGTCCATCACGGATCCAACCATAATTAATCTCAACGTCGTTTGATACTCGTAGACTAGGAGAAATATCTAAAAAACCTACCTAAGTGGCATCTTCATCAAAGATGAACCCCAATGTAAAAACGCATTGTCTCATTTTCTTGAGATATGTAAGCAATCCAATTCGGATTCAATCACACCCTTGCATCAAACCCCATTCTTTTATAATAGGGTAAATTACACAGTAACCTTTCAGGTTTGAGGTCTATTACAACCCCATACAACATCTTTAAAACATTTCACTTTCATACATAACGTACTATTTTATTTCCAAATAATACCTCCGTTAGATTTTCCATCCATTAGTTTGTTAAATGTTGACGTGGCTGCCACATTTGTGCTGATGTGGCTATCACGTGGCAATTTTTTTTTTATACATTAAAAATATAATAATATTAACCTTATTAAAAAAATTAAAAAAAAAAACCCCAAAACACCCGAACCCAGATCCCCTTTCTTCCCCCTCACCTTTCTGCAACTCCCATTTACAAAATCCACCGCTCAGGCCGCGGTTCATCCGCATTGAAACCCTCCCCAATCCACGCCATTCATCTTCTACCCTCCCCTTTAGTTCCTACTATCCTATAAGTAAAGACTTCAACTTTCGATCATACATAGATTCCTGAACAGTATAAAATGAACCCACCGGAAGGCAATCTGAATTCAATCATTATACATCCCCCACTAGAGCTTATAAACTTATAATTCTAAATCATTAGATTGACAAGCAGTTTGTGCATTCTCAGCTACTTCTATGTCATTGCAAGATCAGCTAAAGATTGAGAGGAACTTATAGCGAAGGCGACAATGGCGGTAGAAAGGGCGAGGAAGCCATACTTGGCCATGCCTTCATAGAGTCCAATGAAGGTGCTAGCAATCCCAAACATCATCCTCCAGAGCAAAGCACACACCAGCATTCCCCCAATTCCCAACAGCACCAAATTGTTCCTCTTCCAGAACGCCTCAATCTGCAATCCAATGGTCTCCTGGTACCATTAGAAAGCCAATGATGCCGCATAAAGCGGCTTATCAAACACCTTCTTAGCATTGATTTTCCTAAAATTCGACGGCTTAAAAGAGAAAAACCTCATGCTCAGGCCCACACCTCGCCTGAAGTATCTGCCAACCTGCCTTTGGGGACTGTTTTCGAGTGAGAGGGAAATTGGGGAGGAGGCCCATTGTTGGAGTGGTAGCTCCTCCTAGTGGAGGACAACAAAGGCGGAGACGGAGATGAGGGTTTTGAGATTTGGCTGCGGTGAAATCTTATCAGGCCTTGGAAGATTCGAGACGAGGGTTTTGACATTTGAATTTTGTGTGATTTGGGGTTGCGGGGAAGGATTTCTAGGTTTGTGTGTGTGTGTGTGTTTTATTTTATTTTTTTTTATTTTTAAAATAGGGTTTATATTATAATATTTTTAATGTATAATTTTTTTTTTTGCCACGTGGCAGCCACATCAACACAAATGTGGCAGTCACGTTAGTATTTAACAGACCAGTGGATGGAAAATCTAGCGGAGGTATTATTTTGAAATAAAATAATACGTGAAGTATGAAAGTGAAATGCTTTAAAGATATTGTATCGGTTTGATCAGCAGCGGCTTTTGTTTGTTCGTTCTTTCTATTTTCTTTTATGCGATATAGGGCCTTTTTTTAGCCCATTTCACCTTACCCATTGGATTTTCACTTGGAGTGGGCTGCAGATCCGTATCAATATTGGGCCTGTAAGCCCATATTAACCTCATCACTCATCAGAAGAAAACACAGAAACAAGTACTCTGTTAGCTCTCCACCTCCGTCGTCTGTAAATTCCTCTCTCTCTCTCTCTCTCTTTCTCCCCGAACAGAAAAATGGGTAAAGATCGAAACGGCAGCGTTTCAAATAGACGAAGCAGAAGTTCCGAGAAAGAGGAGAGACGCAGCAGAAGTTCCGAGAAAGAGGAAGAAAACGAGAGAAAATCCGAGAAAGCGAGCGAAATTTTGAATTCCGAGTCCGAAGAAGAAGACAGGAAACGCAGTAAATCTACAAGAAAAGAGCGGGAAATCTCTGATTCCGGGAATGAAAAGCACGTGAAAAGGGATAGACGACGGAGGAGATCCCGGAGGCAGTACAATAGCGAGGAGGGTACGGATTCGGAGTCCGAGTCGGAATCGGAGGAGAGCGGGTCGGATTCGGAGTCGGAGAGTGAGAGCGAGAGTGACGGGAGGAGGAAAAGGAGGAGGAGGAGAGAGAAAGACGAGGACAGAGAAAGGAAGAAGAGGAAGAGAGAGAAGGAAAGGAAGAGGAGGAGGAGAGAGAGGGAGGAAGAGAGGAAGAAGAAGGAGAAGAGAAAGAAGAAGAGGAAGGAGAAGAAGGAGAAAGGAAATGTAGGAGCGGTGACGAATTCGTGGGGGAAGTATGGGATCATCAGAGAAACTGATATGTGGTATGTTTGCTGAATATTCTACGGTTATAGGGTCTTAACTTTCTGTTTGGCTGCTGAGAAAATTTAGGAAAAAGAAATTTACTTTTCCCATTCGAATTTGATGGTTACTGTTGTGTGTAGGAACAAACGACCAGAGTTCACAGCATGGTTACAGGAAGTAAAACAGGTAATTCATTGTTTCCAATTATTTTACCACCCCATGAAACCATTCATTTGCAGGATGTATTATTTCATTCGTAAAGTTTCAAAGATTGTAGAGTTTTCCTTTTGATTTGTATGTGTTTCGAAGCCATGCGTTGATCCATTTCCGAGTTGCCGTCGTTGATAGTATAGTTTTAATGGTGATTGTTTTATCTTTCATCAGGTGAACCTGGAACATCTGGCAAATTGGGAAGAGAAGCAGATGTTCAAACAGTAAGTGTGTGTGTGTGTGTGTTTGTGGATTTGCATTTATTTTCTATCTTATTTTGGCGTCTCGTTTGGTTTTTTTTCACTGACACCATCTATATGATGAAGATCACAAGAACTTGTTAGCGTTATTCTTTTAATTTTCGAATCGTACAATCTCAGTAGAAATTTGTTTTCTTTTAATAGGTTCATGGAAGATCACAATACAGCTACCTTCCCTTCGAAAAAGTAAGCTTCTACTCTATTATCTTGGTGCACTTCAATTTACTTGTCCGAAAAGAAAAAGTTATAAAGCTTTGTCCTTGTCGTTGTAATGTAAGAGGTTGCGGTGCTCACCTTTTAGGGGGGAAAGTTAGATTTGCATATTTCTTTTTGTAGATTTTGTATCTTAATATGCATAAGCACCTAAATTAGGCTGGGCCTAATAAAATGAGATGCTGCTTTATGTCGATCGGTCGCGATTTATTTTTGAACCTGAGGTTGTGGTGTTCACACTTTTCCTTTAGGTATTGAGGATTTAGAGGCGAATGAAATCTGTGTTTGTTCTATTTAGTGAAATATGCTTCTTGATTTGCTTAATTCTTTCAAGTGTTGTTATCATAACTATGTGTGACCCCTTATTTTGTGTTGCCAGATTGGAATCGGTGATTAGTTGACCTTGTGTCTCAATGTATGATTTTGGTTCACAATTTGACAACAGAACGTGCCAGACTTCAGTTAAATCGAGATGAAAAAATGGGGAGATAAGATTTGAATTAAAAAGGGTTGTGTGCTTTTAATTTTACACGTGTAACTTAGTGGGATAAGGCATTGTTGGTTGTGGTGGTGGTGGTGGTGGGAATGGTTTTGTAAGGAGGAGATTGGATGTATGTTCTCACCTTTCTTTTTCCCTTACTTGTTAGTCATCTTCGCTAGAAATCCTGTGAAAGTGCATGGCCGTATACAAAATTGTGTACAATGTAATACCACAGAATGAAAAGTAATTACTTTAACTTTTGTGGTTGCAGGTACTACAGCCTTGATAATTACTACAGGCATAAAATGGAGAAGGAAATTAAAAGAGGTTTTAAGAAGGTTACGCCAACAGAACGTATTGTATTCAATGACGAAGAACAGAAACGGTATGTTTTATTGCTATTTCATTGTAGGACGAGTTTTAGCAACCTTCAATTTCAATACATTCATATAGTTTTCGTTGGAATAGCAAATGTTTCAATCACTCACTTATACTGTGGCTTTCACATTTTGTCTAGTAACTTTATTTTGTACTATAGGACAATTAATAATTCACGTAGCTGTACTTACTTAATAATAGGGTGGTGCTATCCACTCACCCTCTTAATTTCCGGCCGTCTGGATTTCATGAATTAAGGACGATCAAAGGACAAAAATTAACAGGGGGTGTGTGGAAGGTAAAAAGAGGTGTGTGAATATTTTGGCAATAAAAGGGAAAAACAAAAGGAACTTTTATTATAATCAATGTAAAGGGATAGCAAAAGGTACTGGTAAGTGAACTTGTGTTAGAAAGTTTATTTTGGGATTTGCATGCAAAGAAAAAAATGTTCAGGCAACTGTTTATTGATACAGGATAGGAGAAACATAATACCGTTTTGGATCTGTAGGACCAAATTTTCATTCTTTGGTTTGGTTCATAATATTATATTATACATTGCTATTCAGGCAAGAAATGATGCGAGTGCGTGAAAAGCAAAAGGAAGAAGAAGTAGAGGCTCTGAAGCGCTCAATGCAGAGTGGACTGGTATGTTTCTGTTTCATCACTCTTATAACGTTCAACTTGTTTATTGTACCTAAATCCATCCCAAGTCGAAGATACACTTTGTCACCCTTCAAGTATTTCAATTTTCAGGCACAAGCAATGAAAGAGCAAGCTCAACTCAGGGAAGAGATGGCTTACCAGTACAAGATTGGAAACATGGAGGTGAGGATAAGTAACTGAGCAGTCTTGGTGTAATTCTTAAAGTCATTTCTCGCTTTTTGTTTATGGTATTACCTCTTATTTTCAGGCTGCTGCTGCTATTCAGAGAAGGTTGGACCCTGATGCTGCTGTGTGAAAAAGGTTCACTGTAATTTCAAGAGTTTAATTCCGTCAGGTTTCTACTATAAAAAAGAAACTTCCGTGCATAGATTCATAGCTAGACGGAACTGTTAAGGTACCCTCTGTATCTGCTGTCCACTTTAGCCTGGTTGTCATACATTCTAGGGTGAAATATTTGGTGACCGTCGTTCTCCTCAGCGATTTAGCCATTTTTGAAGATGCATAGTAAAGGATGTATGTTGTTTACTGATTTCTTAGCACATTGATCATCATGAAAGTCACCCATCTCCTTTATGCTTTTGAGAAACACCGATATTATTAAGAGGCAATGTATGTGGGATCCATCTTAATTAGAGAGGTAGTTTCGTGTGTCTAGGTAGCATTACTGAATGAATAATGACATGACTCTTTCAGAAAGGAACAAATGTTAAATTTCAGATGCCCCAAAATATTAGGCTGTAAAAGACTTGAGCCAAACTCGGTGCGAGCTCGAGCTGTTTCAAACCGATTTACAGCCCTATATGTAACAGACTCGAATGAGAGGAAACATACTCTCGGAAATTGCAGAGTCGACAGATGAGCATGAATTTGAAAGATAATTTAATCTTTCAATTTTCCATGTTTTTAGTTGAGATTATCTCCACTTGACATGCTTCTGAAGTTCTCGGATATTGCAACACTTGATCTTTGAACCTCATCGCTGCATCTGGTGTTACTTCTTCTTGTACATGGATTGTCATTTTTCGCAAAACTTCGGCATGAGCTAAAAGGAACTCTACCACTGTGAACTCATACAACGCCCCTTCGAACCCCCAAATCTCGATTTCTTGAAGGCAGAGCACCAAGCATTCCGGCGTGGATCCTTCCGGCGTTTTGTACAACAATCTTCTGAAGGCAAAGTCTCTCTATAATCTCCAGTCAATTCTCAGGATAAGGTAGAGCAGTTTAGGAGAGCTATGCAGAAGCAACGCCAATAAGTTCCAGCTCTCACAAGTACAGAAAACGAGCTCCAAACACGCAAGGAAGGGAAACCTTACCGCGAAATTTCAACCGGATCTGCAGTGCAATCTCTTCTACGTTGTCCCGAGTCTCGTAGGAATAGCTGACGGCCTTGACATGCAAAACATTCAAAAGCAAAGAACATGGTTAGTTTCTATACGCAGCATATGTTGTACTTAACTAAAATGGTGAATGAAACGTAGTTATGACTTAGTTCTGGTAATTTGGACCTCATATTCAGGCAAGAATCAATCTAATCTGTCGTCGTAATTCATAGTCCAACAACTTGAATGTGAATAACATAAAGTTAACGGAAGGCATAGAAACTTACCCCTGTAGTGTTAAGCAACATAAGAAGAACCAAGAGATCACAGTGAAGAAGATAACAGAGAGGTTTAGAGAGAGAGAGAGAGAGAGAGATCACAATTCTAATTTTCTTGATTAGTTGAATGGTTACAAGAGATAGTTGCTATATAGATGAGTCTTAAGCTAACTGCCTTAACCAACTCAGTCTATTACCAACAATCCTAACTAATTATTCTAACAGCCACACTCTTAACTGCCTTATGTATTTGGTTATTTACATGTGTCATGATCCACACCCTCCATATCCTATATACTCTAACATCCCCCAGCAAGCTCATGGTGGCCCAAGCATGAGATTGTTGCAGTGAGTCTTGAACAATGGCGAACTCAAACCTTTGGTAAGAATATCAGCAACCTGCTCAGAAGAAGAGACAAACTGAACCAAGAGTTTCTTACTTGCAACCCGTTCTCTCACAAAGTGAACATCAACTTCAATATGTTTGGTGCGCTGATGTTGAACGGGATTAAAGGATAGTGCGATGGCCGAAAGATTGTCACAAAAAAGAACTGGGGGGTGCGGAATACGAACTTGTAGAACTTGAAACAATTGTTGCAGCCAATCCAATTCAGCAGCAGTGGATAAAAGGGCGCGATATTCAGCTTCAATTGATGACCTTGAGACGGTTTGTTGTTTCTTTGAAGCCCAAGAGATAGGATTGTTACCAAGAAACACCACCAAACCTGTTGTAGACCGCCTATCATTAGGGTCTCCAGCCCAATCTGCATCACTAAACGATCGAAGTGATAAACTGCCTTTTGTATATCGAATGCCATGTGTCATAGTCCCTTTGAGATACCTCAAGATCCTCTTCACAGCCAAGTAATGAGAAGCCATTGGAGACTGCATAAACTGACAAACTTGATTAACTGGAAAGGCTATGTCAGGTCGGGTAAAAACCAAGTATTGTAAGGCACCAACAATACTTCTATAGAGGGTGGGATGATTAAATGGGTCCCCATCATCCTTCAATAACCTGTTATAAGGTAAACAGGGAGTGGCACATGGTTTAGATTTAAGCATTTCAGTCTTCTGCAACAAATCGTGCACATACTTTTCTTGAGATAAGAATAACCCTTCAGCTGTTCTTGTGATTTGTATCCCAAGAAAATAATGAAGAGACCCAAGATCTTTGAGATCAAATTCCTTTGTTAAATCTGTAATAACTTGTGTAATCAGCTTAGGGTCATTGCCAGTGAGGATTATGTCATCAACGTATAGCAACAAAATCACAAGTGAAGAACCAGAGCTCTTGACAAAGAGCGATGAATCAGCATATGTATTATGGAACCCCAATGTAGGCAGAAAGCTCGTGAACCTGGCATTCCAAGCCCTTGGGGCTTGCTTGAGGCCATAGAGAGACTTGTGTAACCGACAAACTTTAAGAGGATGATGATGATCTTCAAAGCCAGGAGGTTGGGACATATAAACTTCTTCTTGAAGAAAACCATGAAGAAAGGCATTTTTGACATCTAATTGATGTAGGGGCCAATCATGATGAGCTGCCAAAGCTAAGACTAACCGGACAGTGGTTGGTTTAACAACTGGACTGAAGGTTTCACCATAATCAAGTCCATGCTCCTGATTAAATCCTTTTGCAACCAGTCTCGCTTTGTACCGCGCAATTGTCCCATCAAAATTCCTCTTGATTTTAAAGACCCACTTACAGCCAACAAGATTTTTGTTATAAGGAAGGTCGACTATACTCCAGGTTCCTTGAGAATGTAAGGCTTCAATCTCTTCAGTCATAGCCTTATGCCACACTGGTTCTTTCAAAGCTGACTTATATGTGGCAGGCTCGGTTGTAGTAAGATCAACCCCTCCAGAATCACAAACTGATGCATATAAGGCTTTATGCTTCACAATGCCACTTTTGGATTGAGTCTGCATCGGATGGAGATTCATAGGTGGAATCTCAAGAACAACTTGCAGTGTCTCAGGACAGAAATCAAGGGCCACATGAGAAGGTGTAGAGGAGGATGAAGCAGCAATAATGGACTGTGAGTTGGGTGGGGTAGTAGTCTTATATGAGCTAGAAGAGTGGGACAAATCTGTGGACTCAATAGATCTGTGAAGTGACCCTGTATGCAAGAGAGGTGATTGACAATTGGATGAAGGTGACTGTGCATGCCCTTGAGGTGATGAATATGAAGTATCCCGAACCGAAGATGAAGTTTGCACTCTAGAGGTTGAAATTGGTGAGACAAGGATATTTTGAAAGGTTGGAGTTGGTAATGGTGCAGTGGCAAGTGATGGAGTGGGAGCAATGATCTTAGAGGTTGGGTAAATTGGTAGGGATGAGAATGGAAATTCAAGTTCATTAAACAGGACATGTCTCGAAATGTAGGTTGTTTTGGTTTGTAAATGATAACAGATATAACCTTTATAATGAGAAGCATATCCCAAAAATAAGCACCGAGAGGTTTTAGGTTGCAGTTTGGAAATGTTATATGATTTAAGGAGAGGATAACACGAACAACCGAACACCCTTAAGTGAGAAAGGTCAGGGACATCGTTATATAGAAGTTCAAATGGTGATTTGTTGTGAAGGACAGGGGTTGGCATTCTATTGATCAAATAGGTTGCAGTATGACAGGCATATGTCCAAAATGATGGGGATAAATGAGCAGTTTGCAACAAAGTAAGGGCAGTCTCTACAATATGTCTATGTTTTCGTTCAGCCAACCCATTTTGTTCAGGTGTATAGGGGCATGAAAGCTGATGAAACACACCTTGTGCAGTAAGAAAAGCTTGAAACTTTTTGCTTATAAACTCTCCTCCTCCATCACTTTGAAAAGTTTTAATTTTGGTTGTAAATTGAGTGCAAACAGAATGATAGAAGGAGACAAATGTAGGGAAAAAATCAGATTTATTGATTAAGGAAAAAATCCAACTGAATTTAGTACATTCATCTATGAACAGAACATAGTATTTAAAACCATCTACAGATTGACAAGGTGCTGGACCCCACAAATCACTATGTATCACCTCAAAAGGAACCACATATTTTGATTGAACAGACTGAAAAGGTAACTTGCTAAATTTCCCTTCTAAACAGTGTTGACACAATGTGGAAGGTGTATCATGGACAGTGACAATGTTCGACTTCTTAAGCATTGTAGAAGAAACTGAGTTGGAAGGATGACCTAGTCGATTGTGCCAAAGAGTTGAATTGACTAATTTCCCCAAGCAAGCCATGAGTTTAGAATTGGATGCAGATTGGTTTGGTAGAAGGGATGGAATGGGATAGAGTCCATTATTGCAAGCTCCTCGGAATATAACTCTCCCTGTGGCCTTGTCCTGGATCCAAAAAGAGAATGCATCGAATATTAGCCAACAATTATTGTCTAAACATAATCGATGCACATATAAAAGATTATGAGACAGTTTGGGCACATAAAGAACTGAGTTCAATTTCAAAGGATAAAGAGAAGTCCTTAAGAGAGATGTGGCAACGTGAGACACTTGCAAACCTTCCCCATTTGCAGTCTGAACAGTTTCAGTGACTGGATATGGTGATGCCAAGCTTAGATTCCTCATATCAATAGTCATATGGTTTGTGGCCCCAGAATCCGTGAGCCAAACTTCAAGTGAATATTGTGTTGTGGTAGCCAAAGGGACAAAGTTGGACATTTGAGAAGACAGCATGTGAGTAGTATTCATGGCAGCCATGTGTGGGACTTGATTGGAAGATTTATTCCTGAAGAAACAGGTTCTGGCAGTATGATTTTTCTTGTCACATATTTGACAAGGCTCAACAGGTTCAGCATCTCTATAGTTACAAGTGGCAGCAGAATGACCATGTTTAGAGCAAATCTGACAGATAACATTTGAAGAAAAAGCACCATTATGATAGGAAGATGGAGTCCCAAGAATTCCAGGTGCAAAATCATGGACCACAGGCTTATAATATCTCTGTCCTTGATTGTTGTTAAATTTCCCTTTCCCTTTATACTTCGACCGATTTCCACCATTGAAAAAATTGGATTGTCCATGTTGACCAGTAAATCCAAAATCACCACCATTGTTGATTGTCAGAGATTGACCAGTAAATCCAAAATTACCACCATTGTTGATTGTCGGAGAATGACTATGAAGACCATTTGAAGAAGAATTCCCAACATCATAACTTTGTGATCCTTGACTATTGTTCTTGGTCATCATTGCAGACATAAATGGCATTGAGGCAGTGTTCTCAATAGTGACTTCCTCTGCAAGTAATTGAGAACGAAACTCCTTAAAAGATATAACATTTTCCCTTCCACGAATAACACATCTGAACGTGTTATATTCAACAGGAAGACCATTGAGGGCCAATATCACAATATCTTCATCGGCAGAGATAACTCCTGCAGCTGCAAGAAAATCTCGGGCTGTTTTAATCCGTTAAAGATACATGGACACAGAATCAGAACCCTTTTTGATGTTCTGAAGGTCAACTTTCATCTGAAAAATGGATGTACGACTAATAGTAGAGAATTGTTCTTGAAGCCGAATCCAAAGATCCCTAGAGCTAGTGCTGCCTATGGCACAAGAAATGGCTGAGGATGACAAAGTTACAGTAAGAAGTTGCATGAAAGCTCGATCATGCATCTTACAAATCTTATATTCATCAGTTTCAGTTTGTGGAGTGGAAGATGTAGAGGTTAGATCCGAATTAGGAGACCCAGATGAAGAAAACTGAGTAGGACACATTAGTGCCATCGACAAACCCCATGATTCCATATCCTTCAAGCATTAATTGCAACTGAAAATGCCATTGAAGATAATCGGAATCATCCAACTTCACAGTAACTGAATTAGAGACTGATGCAATCAGATTGGTAATCGGTGATTGCAATATTTGCAATTGATTTGCAGTGATCATCTTGATAGAATCTGAGTGAGACAGAAGATCAAACACCTGGTGTGCTAGAATTCACCAAGAACAGATCAGAGGATTGGGACAAGAGAGACGCCCAAAATTTTCAGAACAACACAGAGAATCAGTATATTGAGAAAGAAGATAGTAGCGGAAGCAGACCAAGAATCGAGAAATCACGAATAGATTTCAAGATGATGATACCATGTTAAGCAACATAAGAAGAACCAAGAGATCACAGTGAAAAAGATAACAGAGAGGTTTAGAGAGAGAGAGAGAGATATCACACTTCTAATTTTCTTGATTAGTTGAATGGTTACAAGAGATAGTTGCTATATAGATGAGTCTTAAGCTAACTGCCTTAACCAACTCAGTCTATTACCAACAATCCTAACTAATTATTCTAACAGCCACACTCTTAACTGCCTTACGTATTTGGTTATTTACATGTGTCATGATCCACACCCTCCATATCCTATATACTCTAACATGTAGTACTTCTGGACAACGATAAGGACTTGACATTGGAGAGTGTTTCAAGAAGCTCAAACGCACGATTTGAGCGAATTACCTCGAAATAGAGCTCAAGTTTACCGTAATCTGCTGAAGGGTCTCCGATACAAATCTTTGCATAATCGAGAACCTTCAAACCCGCAGTGATTCTGTACTTGGCCAAGAAGTCATCGCAGAGCTCAAGGTTCTTGAGGTTCGGGCAGTCAACCACAAAGCTATAGTCGATATCACCATTGAAATTATGCACCAAACATTCAATCTTCAACCTCTTAAGGGTATTCGATTTCACCTTTAAAACCACTTCCCTTTTCTTGTACAGTATGTCACCCTCTATGAACAAATCTTCAAGCACACGGCAGATGTGGAAAAGATTCTCTGTGACACTAATACCATCTTTGCTATAAACCTTTATCCAGAGAACCTTGAGGCTCGGAAAACACACGCAATCTGGAGGAAAATCCAGCCGTATGTTCCCATTTAGTTTTAGTACGAGAAGCGAAGTGCTGACATACAAAATTTGAGGCAGTTTAATCGGGTTTTCGTGTAAGAAATCCTGATCTCGACCTCAATTGTATTGGATGTGCATGCACGAAGAAACCAAGAATTTATGCAATTCAGATTGTTAGGGTCGGAGCAAAAGAATGCGAGTTTTCGTATGCATGGCAAATTGATGAGGCGGAGCACGTTGATAACGAAGGTGGCGAATAGGGAAGCGTAGTTGTACATGGTGTTGGAGCTTTCGAGGCGAAGCAGTAACCAGTCATCAAGCTCTAGGTTTGTGAAGGAAGCAGAAGTCCATAGGTTTTTCCACTTCTTGCAGAGCACGCTAGTGGCCACGGCATGTGTAATTGGCAAGAATGTGAGAATATGGCAGCAAATATCCTCCGGTAATCTGGTGATCATGTCTTCTTCTCCTCATTTTTCTTCTCGTCTCGCTTTCTTTTTCAGTGGCTCATAAATTTGAGTTCTTGGGGTTGTTCTCCGACGAATCATGGAAAATAGTTATAGGGTTTGGTCGAGAATTGGATGTTTGAGGATATTGGGGAACTAATCAAACTAAAACTGGAAATTCGAAGCAAGCTGGGTAACTTATCTTCGACGTTTCTTGATGCCAGAATTTCTGGAGAATCCCCTTAGGCTTGAAACTGATCAGTGCTCTTTACAGAACGCTGGACGCTGTCGCGCCGAAACCCTATAAAACAGATGGAGAAAAGAAAACCAGAGGCTTGCGCCCGGCGTGCCTTTGGAAACTAAATTCTGGCCTATTTATAGTGGAGGGGAGAGTTCCTTTCCCAGTAGGAACCATGGAGTTGAAACTTGAATAACAAGTAATTTCCTTTTAAGTGACTTTCTGGTGCAATTCGATTCTTGCGTATTAAGGAACTCAAAATATTCCACATTGTTTTAAGAGACTTAAATTACAATATGTAATCCCTTAGGGCTTGTTTACTAATCCGTAATCAGATTGAAGGGAATTGAATTAAAGAGGAATTGGATTGAGGAGGAGTTGGATTGAGTGGGAATCAGAATTGGATTCTTGTTAAAGTTATTTACTAAACTATCTGGAATCGGAGTAAGAATGATATTGGTTTCGTATAACTTGTTTACTAATTTACCTCAATCGGAATTAAAACTAACTTGATTACTAAATTGCCCTTGTTAAAATAAATTACTCTGGTTATCTTCCGCAAGGCTCAACTCTCTCCCTACTTCTTCACCCTCTTCGTCTTCATCCTATTCGTCTGCGTCCTCTACGGCGAGGACCTCACCTGCATTTTTGGCCAGCAGCTTCAACTCACCTCTAGCTCCGACCCAATCGTCATCAAAACAGGTGAGTCAACCCACCCCATTCCACTGAATTAACCCTTTTTCCGATGCAAAAAATTGAAACTTTGGAATTTAGTAAATTGGGTCTTTTGTTTTGGGGCTATGGAAGAAGAGAGAGAAGTTGTCGTATGTCGTCGACAAGACCGACGAAGGGTGTGACTTGTTCAGCGAGAGGTGGGTCCCCAATGTTTCTTTCCTCAACCTGCACAGCCCTCCCACGCCTTCCCCATTTTCTTTCCCAACCCTTCCCATCAACTCCCGTTTTCATAGGTCCTTCACGCTTCCCCCTTTCCTCCATATCATCTTCTTCCCCAGCCCCAACAACTTTCCATATTCACAGATCCCTCCCACCGCCTCCTAAATTGGTGGATTTCTGGAGAAGACGAATTGAGGGCAATTTTGGAACAAAAGTCTGATTGATGGAGGACATCAATTCAAGGAATCCAAATACCACCGAATGTTAGAGAATCCGACTCCGGGAAATTTCGGAACGTGATTCCTGAATTGAGTTGGGTCCCACCCAGATTTTCATTCCTCTCACACTAGTAAACAAGGGAATTGCTCGAACTCTGTGCAATTCCGTTTCCACTCGTTTCATTACCCCTTAGTAAACACGCCATAAAAAATAAACATTAGGATCACTGATCTCTTACTTACTATTATATTCCTCAATATTCAGATTCGTGACTTCCCTCCATCCAAGTTAGGGCTAGTTTGGTATTACTGTGCTTTGAAAAAAAATTACTTCTGCTGTGTTGTGAGAATAAACTCTTTTTTGCTGCTACACGTTTTCAACTTTTTTTTTTCACCCAAAACTAAGAAAATAAGCTCATTTTTGCTGCTACATGTTTTCAACTTTTGTTTTTCACCCAAAACTATGAAAATAAGTTGTTTTTAAGTGTTTACCAAACACATTTTCGAGCTCATTTTTTTATACTCACTTTTTATAAAAGCACTTCAGTACCAAACCAGTACTCAGCCCTGGTCAGCTTTTTTATGTTTGGTAAACATTCAGCTTCAGTTTTTTTCACAGTTTTTGGTTAAAAAAAAAACCCAAAAACACAAAGCTGCAAAACCCAGCTTTGAAAAACTAGATTTTTTTTACATCTGTTTTACATAAAAGTTTATCAAATACTATAATATTGTTTTTTTTTTCAAAAGCACTTTTACAAAAAAATTTACCAAACACTCTGTTGCTTTATTCACAGCTGCTTATTCTCATAGCACAACAGAAACAGTTTTTTTTTAAAGCACAACAATATCAAACCAGCTTATGGGGTGTTACTTTATAGGAATGGGTGTAGGAGGGCTGACAATATTATGACATGGGTTATAGATTGTAATGTGAGACTCGTATACATAACATTCACATGTTATCGTGCGAATAAATAATTTATTAATTGAAAGAAATTGACACAATTTATTGAAGCACAAAAAAAGTTTCACCCCTTCAACATTTTATTTGCTTTTTATCTAAATGTTATCGAGAAAAGTGAAATGAATTTACTGATGCCAAAATTAAATGCTCTTAAGCATTTAATTTACAAGCTCGTTACAATCGCTATCTTATTGATAAATAGTGACTCGCAAACATAAAAGTATTTCATTTCAAATAAAATAATTTAATTGTCATTTAATACTATGGTCTAGCAGTATTATTCTTCACTTGTAAGTGACAGGTCTTAGGTTCGATTTTCGTCAAAAGAGAATTTGAACAAATTATTACTAGCCTATTGTGAGAATAAACTCCACCTCATTAGTGTAAATAATATTGCTTGTTTAAAAAAAAAAATTAATTCGTAAATTGGGGAATGTTGAAAGCTTGAAAGAGAAGATAGGGTTAAAGTACAGGCTACATGCTCATTTGGATCTGGACATCAGGATATGAGAGGGGGACCAAATCCAACGGCTAACAGAGTGAGAACAAGAACATTAGCTGAGCCCTGCAATCGCACACTAACATTTCCTTATCAGTGTCTCTGTGACAGAGTGTGTCTTTATTATCCTCTAAGCGGCGGAATTATTTAAATATAATCAAAATTCTATTTAGATTCTTTATTAATAATTAATTAATAATATATTAATATAGCCACCCATACTGGCTTGTTTTGTGCAGCGGCTAGGACTCTGAGCTGCTTTACTTTTAACGGCTCATTTGGTTTCTAATTTTTATGCAGCTTTTTCTTATTCTGCTTTTTTGTTTTCTGGATCAATGAAGTTTTCACCATATAGAAGACAATTGACATATTACAAAAATAAAAAAACAATAACCTAACCCGACATTAGATGTAACATCCCACATCACTCAGGGGAGTGATCCTTAAATGTATATTCTCATTCCTACCTAGCATGAGGCCTTTTGGGAGCTCACTGACTTCGGGTTCTATCGGAACTTCGAAGTTAAGCGAGTAGCGTGCAAGAGTAATCCCATGATGGGTGACTCACTAGGAAGTTCTCGTGTGAGTTCCCAGAAACAAAACCGTGAGGGCATAGTTGGGCCCCAAAACGGACAATATCGTGCTACGGTGGTGGAGCAGGCCCGAGAAGTGGTCTGCCCCGAGCCAGGATGTGACAAATGGTATCAGAGCCTAACCCTGGCCGTGGTGTGCCGACGAGGACGTCGGGCCCTAAGAGAGGTGGATTGTAACATCCCACATCGTCCAAGAGAGTGATTCTTAAATGTATATTCCCATCCCTACCTAGCACGAGGTCTTTTGGGAGCTCACTGACTTCGGGTTCCATCGGAACTCTGAAGTTAAGCGAGTAGCGCGCGAGAGCAATCCCATGATGGGTGACCCACTGGGAAGTTCTCGTGTGAGTTCCCAGAAACAAAACCGTGAGGGTGTAGTTAGGGCTCAAAGCGGACAATATTGTGCTACGGTGGTAGATTGGACCCAGGAAGTGGTCCGCCCCGAGCCGGGATGTGACATGAGACTCATTGGGTTAGGTTATTGACAATTGACATATTACAAGTGGTTCTTTACTACAGTAGTGGAAAAGTATTGTGCCCTTACATAACGGGGTAGGTTCGAATCCCGTCAGTAGCTAATCTAATATTTAACTTACTGACGCTATTGTTTCACTTCAATACAACCATATACAATAAAATAAAAACTTATTATTATCACACCACAAACTTATTTATTTACAACATTCACCTCTGCACTGAAATTCTAAATTTTATCGTCTCTCATTTGGTATGTATAAATAGAAAAAAAAGAAAAAGACAATAGTAATTTAGTAGCCTATGAGCCATAGTATAAGGCTGTAAGCCGAGCCACTTGACAAGAACATATCTTTGTCTTAAAGTCGGAAAGAGAGACGACTTCATTAAACAAATATTCCACATCTTGAAAACCCTCTGGACCTTTCACACAGTCCCAGTCCAACCTACACTCCCTCCTCCTGCTGTCTTTTCATCTCTCTCTCTCTCTCGCTCTCTCATTGTTGAAGAAGACTGACAGGGAGAGAAACAATCTCTGTGTCGGCGAGTGTGGTATTCACTGAGAGAAATGAGGGGTCCTATGGGGGCAGTGATAGGGAGGTACCCACCAAGTGATGGGAGTGCCCAAATGGGTTCAATCATTAGGCACAACAGGAAATGCAGGGACCTTGTCTTCCTCGTAATCTTCATAGCCTTCTGGGTTGCCATGATTGTTAACTCCAGCTTTGGATTCAACCAAGGAAACCCTTTAAGGTAAGAAACTTAGCCATGCCCTTTTCTTTCGTTTTTGGCAAAATTTTTCTTCATTTTGTGGGTTTTAAGGTAAGAATCATCGGCTCTCAAATTGGTTCCTTTTTTAGCTCAGAAATACGAGGTATTGCAAAATGGGTATTTTTTGGGGGTGGGGGGATGTTTTCTCTGTACACATTGTTACTTCTCTGTTGGAATAAATGAGACCGGAAATTGCTTTATTTATTTGGGTTTGGTCCCCAATTGTCTATTTTTTTTAAACACCAAGGAACTACCTTAAACATATGATGATGTTTGGTGGTTCTGAGTTTTTTGCAAAGTTGGTATTCTTCTCAATTGGGTTTGTTTTTACGATAGTATCGTTGTTGGGTTTTCAATTTCCCTCTGTTTTCCCTTTTCTAGTGAAGTTTTGTTGCTGGATAAATGTTGGTAAGAAGCTAAAAATGAAATGCTGAGTTTGTGTATATGTGATTTGTTAGTAGAGAAACTTGATGTCATTCCTTTTTTCAAAAGTCGAAATGCTATTTTAGTTTCGGTACATTTTCTTCTGGCAGGTTTCCTTCTTTATGTTTAGATAACCATTACTGCATTTTACTTGGGTTGGTCTGCATTCCTTTTGGATTTCGTTCAGTTTTGTGCACTAATTTCGTTTACATTTCGCTACCTTGTTTAATTTCTGTATGCTTGCTCCATTTTGCTACGCTGCGGTTACATTTCTTCCACATAGTTGAATTCTCTTTACTTGGTTTTGTCATTTTCATTAATAGTGTTGTGGTTGATCAGGCTCACTTATGGACTGGACTACAAAGGAAATGTTTGTGGTGACAAGCATGCAAAACCTGGTCTTCATGAACTGGAACTCAAATATTGGTTAAATCCTAACCAGGTTTACCTAAGTGGTTTAAAAGACAATCAATTTAAATTGGCTAATGCTCGGAGTATATGCTTAATGGATTGCCCTACCCCATCTGTAGATTCATTAAGTTGGGTGTGTGATTATCCTGATGGAGATATCCGTCTCAAAATGGGTGATTGGATCGACAGGAATTATGATTATTATGAGTTCCTTACACCAGAAATGAGAAACACCTCTCTTCAACTTCAGGGTCCTTGCTACCCAGTCATATTTCCCAGTGTAAATGGTAAATGAACTCACTTTCGTTAGGGACCAGTAAACTGTATCATGTATTATATTTATTAATTGTGTTCCTGCACAAATATTTTCTGTTGCATATGTCATGTTTGTTGTGTACATGTGTTTATCAGTGGGAGAAAACTTTTGACATATAGTGAAGAACTGTAGTCCCTATTCAATGCATGTATCTTTTCTTCTTTCATTTTAACATTAATGCAAACTCTTTCTTTCACAGTTTATTGGACCTGCCAATTTATTGCTCGTCCCTCCAACGTATCTTTGAGGCATTGGCAGCAAATGGGTGGAGTGAATATCAACGAGGACATTATTATAGACAAATCTATTCACAAGGCCATCAATTCTCGGGCATCTGTCTTTAAGGTCGAGCAGCGTTTGTTTACTACTTTTACTTTTTTATAATGAGGATAGTTCCTAAATTCTGTAAAAATGTATAAAGTTTTCTGCATTT